GGAGGTTCCAGAGTGGTAAGTGACTTGCCTGAGGCTGACCCCGCGCACAGGTGCCAGAATTGGGGCTCCAAACCCATCCAGCTGGCCCCAGAACCAGAGCTTCGTGCACCACACTGTGCTGTTCCTGTTGTCTCCATCCTTGGATTATAGAAGAGCTGAAGCAAGAAGGCTAAGCGTGTCCTTGTTCAACCTCAGCTGGGTGCTAGTAGGGTGACCCATGTGTTCTCCGTGCTCTGAGCGTGTCTGAAACGAACACAGAGACGCCACAAGTATTGATTTGGGGTTACAAATTAATTTTTGAGTGGGAGCGAGTACGCAAATCACAAATACAGAATCTGTAAATAATGAAGCTACACTGTAGAATTTGTGTGGGGGTCCCTGCTAAAAGCCGAGCTGGGAGTGCCGGCAAATACCTTTTTTCATGTCTTTTGGCTGGTTCCTTTTCACCCCTTCAGAGACTTGTCAGAGAATTCTTGTCTGACCCGTAAAATGGACCCTACTCTCAGCCATGTTGAATCACATTACCCTGTTTAATTTCCTCTAGGCACTTGTCATGATCCAGAATTTTTATTTATTTCTTGACTTGTTCAGCCTGTTCCCCTATGCTCATATGTAAACTCTGTGATAATGGGAACTTTGTGTATCTTGGACGTCCTGCATGCCCAGCACTTGGAATGCTGTCTGAGGCGCCCTGGGAGCCCAGTTGCTATTATTCGAATGAATAGATGAATAGATTGATGAACGAATCAATAGTTGTATGTAGGTCTTTCACAGTGAAGGCCGCAAGTGTTTTATAAGAGGAGACTTGAGCTTGCAGGACATTGGCTGTGTCGCTTGCAGCCTCAGATAAGGCATCAGGGCCTAAAAAGTAAGATAATTACACCTGAAAGAAGAAAGAAATTCTGCCAGAATTGGGATTGGGGCTAACTTGAGAAGAATTACTTTAGAGTATTTTGCAAAGAGATAAAGTTAGTACTAAGGACTAGAAACGATGATTTGGTGGGGGGGGGGCGGGGATGATGATGCGTTTCAGGGTGAGAAAGGAAGTTGTAACTCCAGACGGAGAGAGGTTGTGTGCGGAGCACATGGGTGAGGCCAGAACAGAGATGCAGTCAAAGTAACTGAGTTTCTTCTCATGAGGAGCCGAGGTGACATTTACACGTGAGTATAATTGAGATGAGAAAAAAAGCTAGCCGTGAGAAGCCTGGAATGGGGGGAGGCCTAATTTTAAGCTCTATTTTGTCCTGCAATGTCAAGGGCGCTGAAGGACACGTGCCCTATTTCCCAGTGCGGTACAGAGGTGGGATCCAGTAGTCACCTCCCACCGGGCCATCATTCCTGATTATCCCCATCCCACTCTTGTCTTTAGGGTAGGGATGAAGAAGGTGGAAGTAGCGGTCTGTGAAAGAAGGTTTGAGGGCTGTTTCTTTCATCCTTGGATTGGCTCTACTCCAAGCACTTCCATTAGCCTTAGTGGTTCTGAATCAAAAGATGTGAATCCGAAATTGAAAGCTGAAATCGTAACTAGGAGCTGCCAGCTTCCAAACCAAACCTGGGAACTAGAAACACCTGAACACACTGCTAGCAACCAATAAACCCTGCCATATTTGGATTAATAGCCCATAGAAGAAGTGAAGTCCAATCAAATCATTAACTCCTTTTAAGTGACTTATAAAACAGCAAAACTGTGGAAAACTTCTTTGTAGTGGAAGAATTTTAGAAATATAGGATAGCATTCAACTTATTTTATTGTACCTTTTGGAATGTAAGAATGCTAGAGTTACAAAAATTTGGAAGCTTCATCAAAGTATAAAAAGAGATTCAACTTTCCTGGTTTCAAAGGAAAGTCAATTCTGTGTTTTTTTTAAAGATCTGAGGAAAATACTTGGCCAAAAATGAACAGATCATGTTTCCAAATTTCTGGGAATTTATATTTTGGGGCCATGGTGGTTGTGGTATCAGCTTTCTCAAAACATATTGGCTCAACAAAGTAGATTTCGGTCTACTTTTTTTTGTAAAACAAATCTATCCATCATAACTACCAAATGGCCAGAACTGGGATTAAATGGAACCCCATGTTATGATGGCAACTGGGACACCTTTCCTACCATAGAGTAACCCAAGTCCCAGTGATCTTCAGAGTGAAATGGATCCCAAACTAAATCGTAGTCTATTAACAAAGCTACTTCTTTTTTTTTTTTTTTTTAAGATTTTATTTATTTCACAGAGAGAGACACAGCGAGAGAGGGAACACAAGCAGGGGGAGTGGGAGAGGGAGAAGCAGGCCTCCCGCGGAGCAGGGAGCCCGACACGGGGCTCGATCCCAGGACCCTGGGATCACGACCCGAGCCGAAGGCAGACGCTTAACCGACTGAGCCACCCAGGTGGCTCCAGGTGCCCCCAAAGCTACTTCTTAATACAGACGATACCATCTCAGATTTGTCTATGACTTCACAGTGTTACTTATTTCCTCATATAGTATTCCACGTATCTACCACAATAATCCCACATGGCTGAGACGGCAGATGTTATTCACCTCATTTTACAAAATAGGAGAACTTAGAAATGGGCATTTTCCTTGATTTTCCCAACATCATCCTCCTGCAAGTAGAGCTAGTACTCCACACCACATTTCACGGCACCTGCTCTAGAGCTACTGGTGGGGTTGGATCAGGTTTACTCAAAGCCAGAGTAGCATTCAGCACAGAATATGTTAGCAACAACATCAAAACCCGAGGACTTCGTGATACGGTCAATTGATTTTCGACAAAAGTGCTAAGACGCTTCAGTTGTCTTCCAGTTGTCTCTTCCATCAGTGGTGCTTAGACAACTGGCTGTCCATTATAATAAAAAGACCCAGTTGGACCCTACTTTGCACCATACACAAAGCTTAACTCAAAATGGCTCACAGACCTAAAGGGAAGAGATAAAACTTCTAGAGGAACATGGAGGTGTAAATCTCCACGACCTTGGATTAGGTTGCTTAGCTATGACATCAAAAGCACAAATGACAATAGAAAAATAGGTAAATTGGACTCTGTCAAAATTAAAAACTTTCGTGCTTCAAAAGGCACCATCAAGGGGCTCCTGGCTGGCTCAGTCGTAAGAGCGTGCGACTCTCGATCTCGGGGTCGTGAGTTCGAGCCCCATGCGGGGTGTAGAGATTACTTAAACAAATAAAACTTAAAAAAAAAAAAAAAAAAGAACAACCAAAAGGCATCACCCAGAAAATGAAAAGACTTGGGAGAGATACCTCATTTAGCTCCCTGCCCTTACGGAGCTTGCATCCCATTAGATTTACCTTGATTGTATACTCAAGTACAGTTTCGCTCTTAGGGCTCATTCTGGAAGATACTTTTCAAATGTAAGGTGCCGCTTTCCAGAGATTTCACTTTCTCCATCCTAATGTGCCCTGGTTTCTATATGATTCCATCCTTTTCACAGCTTGGTTGTAGTCCGTTGTTAAATTCAGTTTGAGGTCAAAGGGAAAGACAATAAATTTCTTGAGAGTAGTGGCTTTTCGAGTAAGCATTTTCATGGATAGCTAAGTTTATTTGGGAATCCTCAAGGGGGACCTAGAAATGACAACATAAAAGTAATGGTAAGAGAAATTGAGCCCAGTGATGAACCTCCTTGAAATATTAGCCTGAGTTCCACATTCTGTACTTGTCCATCAAAATGCATCTTATAATTTTTTCTTTTGTTCATTAAACATTTAGCCAACATGTCTGTGTGCTAATCTGACATAGGACCTGATCTTGGTGTTTGCTGCCGATGGCCAGCGACTGTTATCTTCTCAATGAGAAGATGTCTTGAGTAGTCTCTCTGCTGTGTCTTATAATGATCAGGAATAAAACTCAAGGAATCGTGGCCTCTGGAAACAGGACATGATTTCTCTGAAAAGCCATCACTGGATTTTTATCCTGAACTTCTGACCCTACTTCCAGTCTGTCTCATTTAGAGAGAATGGAATTACTCCAGTTAAGTGAAGTATCCCAAATCAAAAGGGCTTAATGACTGAGCCATGTCTCCTCCCTGAGATATGCTAGAGTAATCAGTGATGCTATTGTCATTCTCCGTAACACTGTAACTTCTGTGCTGTGTTAAAATCATAAAACTCCTGCATGCTCTCTCCATTTCCCACAGCTGTGATTTCTGGGTCTCTGTTTGCGCATAAGCATTTCAGAATTGTCATGAGGTGGAGGAAATAGCATGTGCAGAGGATTTCCCAAGCCCAGTTGCCAAGAATGAGCTAATTGTCACCCTCCCTTGCATATCATGAGTCTTAAAAACTTCAAACACAAGCCGTTCTATAATGATCTACCTTTCCTGGAGAATGGCATGTGTTCGCTGTAGAACCTCGGGAAGTATACCAGAAGTAAAATTATAAATTATGTCCTAAGATTAATAAAATAGTCAACCATCCTTTTTCTTTTTTGATGTTTTCATAGCGATGAAAGACAGAGTCGATGCCTGTATTTAAAAGAAATGTTAAGTAAATATGATATAATCTTGCTACCTTGCTTCTGGAAAATTTGTTCAATGGATATCGATAGTAATCTGTTCTCCATAAAAGAATAATATTGTTTTATTTTTAACTTACTTTTTTGTTTAATAGGCCAAAATTACACTTTCTTCCAAGATATAAAAGCAGGAATCACAAATATATTTCAGGCGTCGATTTCCCACTAACTGGTAATAGCTACGTATATGTTGGGTTAGGAAGATTCTGAGGCCGAGTATGACTTAGTAGAAAAGACTGCTACCATTGGCTAACAGTGTTCTCCAAGGATGCAAGATAGGGAGTGGACATGTAAGTCCTATATTTTCCATCTCTGTATAATTGGAAGAAGACTTAACATTTAAAGTATCTTTTAGATACTTAAAGTATCTAAAGTACTAATGTCTAAAGTAACTATTTAAAGTAACATTTAAAATACCAACATGTAACTGAAAACAAAGGCCAAATAAACCCTTACTCTTCTATCTATATCCTGTAGGTCAATGCATCACGTCAAGAAGCCAAATTGATGGAGGAGTGTGATCTTCTCATTGAGATCATTCAGCAGAGACGACAGATTATTGGAACCAAGATCAAAGAAGGGAAGGTACGATTTCTAGGGTAGAAGATTTCATATTCTCTACCTGGAGAAAACATCATACTCCCATGCGCTTCAATAGCTTAGGAAATATCGAATACCCCCCTTTTCTATATTTTCTGTAATTTCCTCTTAAGTCTTCAAGACAGAGCTCAAAGGCCCCTGGTTGGCCATTTTTTTCTCCACCCATTTCTTTGTATTATCACCATTTCCTATGCACCTCTGTAATAAAAGGATTACATTACCTCTCCTCCATTACTGAACTCCAGGGGGCAGCATGGAGCTCTGGTCTATTATAGCCATTGTCTCCATCTTTCTTCTCTATGAGAAGGTGGGTTCCGCAGAGGAGTTCATTTCATATTTCTCGCTATATCCAGCAATTAACACAGTATTAAATAAATGTTTCAATGAATCAGACTTCATATAGAAGTTGCAAAGTATTTTCCCGTGCCCTTGAGCGAATTCAGACAGGTATAATTTCATAGTGGCAAAACTACTATAGTTTCACTGTATCATATATCCCTTTGTGGATATATTAATAGTAATTCTTTTCTAATAATTGTATCTTTAAAATTCCCATGGTTTTTATTGAAATACTTGGGATCCATTTCATTTTACTCATTTCTCTGCCACCCTCAAAAGGTAATTTTGTAAATATTTAAAAAATAGAAACATTCATTCAAGATCCAATAAATTCATGAAGTTCTATTATTACATATGCTCATAACCATGCTTTAATGAAATATGTATAATTAAATTAGCAACTATTAAGTGGTACACAGAGGTTCCAATAACTGATAGACGGGGCTCTGCTCTGTTTTCTACCACATTTAAAAGGTACTTTCGATACTGTATAATATTTTAGATTACTTTGCCTGTGTAAGCTGAAAAATATTTATGCATGTAAATTGTGATGGTGATCAGAAAAGTTAAAGTCAAGTCCAATCAAATAGCTCTGGAGGCTGTTATAGTGAATTAACAACTTAATATGAAATCATTCCCTGGCCAAGAACTCAAATGTATTGAGAGGCGACTTTTCCCCACGTACAAATTGTACGACTTTGAAGAGCACTGAATGTCAGCCTGGAATCCTCACAGGACATCTTTCCTGTTCCATTGTCATGCCCCACATGTGTACATCTCTTAATACCTGACATCTCGCAGGTCCTCAGATACACGATTGCCGGAAATACAGCTGCAATTCTTTAACATGCGTGCGGGAGGGAATTTGTTGCCTTTACATGGTACAGGGGTCAGTTTTTGATACTCATAGTAGTCCCTTATCGCTGCTGTAACAAATTACCGCAGACTGGGTGCCTTAAAACAACACAGGTTTAGTTTCTGACCTTCCGGAGGTCAGGAGTCCAAAATCAGTCTCACTGGGCTGAAAGTCAAGGTCTCGGCAGTGCTGTTTCTTTCCGGAGGCTCTAGGGCAGAATCCATCTGTTGCCTTTTCTGGCTTTTAGAGGCCACCCGCACGCCTTGGCTCCTGGTTTCTTTATCACATCACTCTGACCTTTGCTTCCCTCCTCAGATCTCTTTCCCTGGCACAGTTCTCTCTGGTTCTCTCTTCTAAGGACCCTTCTAATTAACACTGGGGTCACCCAGATCATCCAGGATAAGCCCCCCCCCCCTCAAGATCCTTGCCTTAATCACATCTGCAACATCCCTTTCATCATGTAAAGCGCCATCGTTTAAAAACTCTTGGGAGTAGGAGGGGAGCATCTTGGAGGGGGGTGGTTATTCAGCCTGGCCAGCATGCCTTTCCCTTGCTTAACTTCCCAGCATGAGGGTTTCTCCCATGAGCTCCATCAAAGTAGTGAAGGGGTGTCGTCATGCGTAGGGTTCGTGCTTTGGTGCACCCGGTCCAGCCCGAACACGTGTCAGTGACAAGAGAACATGGTGAAATAGGAAAGCAAAGACACCCAGCTGGACCCAAAACAAGATAAAGGTCTCCATGGGCCGGAAATGGGACAAACCTGCAAAGTTGCAGTTGCCACTGAAACACGGGACTGGGACTCGGTCTGGAAGAGACCAAAGCAGCGGCACCTTCCACTCCCATGGGTAAAGAGTTCTTGAAGCCCTGGGATAAAAGGGGCCGGAAGTGCTCCGGGTGGTATGAGGGACGACAGTCAGGCTTGCTGGTCAATGCCACGGGCCGCATAAGGCTTCTCAGTTCGTTTAAAGGCACCGAAAAAGATTATTGCCAACCTCTATCCCGGGTCATAGTTTTTAGCGGTTTCAGGCCTGGGAGTCTGGAACGAGTCTGTTGTTGGGCTGGAGCCTGGATCTGCACTACTTCTGATACCTGCTCAAAAGACAAGCCTCAGAAATGCAGAGGGTCCCTGAATGAGGGCCCCCAAGGGTGAGGGAGGTGAGGAAAACTGATGGTAATACCAGTAGGTGGAGGGGACGGGAGGGGGCTGAGCAAAGGGAAAATGATTATGAATGACTTCTTCCCTTTAAACCTGAAACTCACACCGCAGTGCTGAAGCATGTAAAGAAATGTTGCATTTCTGAAAATAGAGCCCGCAAAATCAACAAAGACATTATCTCACCCCAGGTGAAATTCATTTTATGGGAAAATAAAGAAAAGATGTTTAAAGCAATAAATGAAGGGATGACTTCTATTTTAAAAGAGCAAAACCTTGTGAAGCCACAAAAAGGGTATAAGATCAGAAAGAAAGAAATGTGAAAATAACACATCAGCAGTTTGGGAGGCAAAATGTAGACACTGAAACTACAAAGACAACTCAGCCACAGGGGGGATTTGGAAACTGAGTTTTAGCCTCCACATAGGCGACGCCATTCTGCATGTAAGAATACGAAATTCGAGCTATATTTCATGCCAAAATTAAAATTTCATGCGAAAATTAAATCTAAATGGATATTCCTAATGTGAAAGACGAAATGATAAAACTTCTAGAAGAAAACGTGAGAGGAAATCTTGGTGAACCTTGAGTTGAGCAAAGAGTGTTCATATACAATGTTAAGAACATCAAAGAAATACTTACATATTAAACAGATAATTGTGTTACATCAAAAGTAAAAACTTCTGTCTAAAAGGCACTGTTAAGAGAATGTAAAGACAAGCCACAGGTTGGAGACAAATATGTTTAAGTTATTCATCTAAACAGAAAAGTATTCGTACGCAGGTATGTAACAAATTCTCAAAACTCATTAGCAAGGAAACAAACAATACCTTTACCAGAATGGATAAAAGATTTGAATAGGTACTTTACCACGGAAGGCGTGTGGATGACAAATGAGCACATGAGAAGATGTTCAAAATCATTAGTTGTTAAGAAAAGTCAGAAAGGGAAATTTAGAACCTCAGGGAGATACCCTACTTACCTAGTAGAACGGTTAAAATGAAAAAGATGCACCATACCAAGAGTTGTTGAGAACCTGGAGGAACTAGAACTCTCACACGCTGTTTATAAGAATAAAACTGCATTTTGGAAAACTGACGGTTCCTGAGGTAGTTATACATACGCCATTCTAGGTGTTTGCCAGAGAAATGAAAGCACATGTCCCTGTAGGACACGTGCATGAATTTTCATGGGAATGGCAAGGGTAATAGCCCCAAACTGGAAATGACCCAAATGTCTATCAGCAAATGAATGAATAAACAATATGTGGCACATCCATTATTTCATTTATTCAGCAACAAATAAGAACGAGCTACTGATGCATGCAACAACACGGATCAATCTCAATAAATTAGGGTGAGCGAAAGAAGCCAGACAGAAAATAGTATATACTGCATGAACACATTCATATGGAAGTTTAGAAATAACACTTTCTAATAATCTACGGTGACAGAAGACAAATCAGTGGTTGCTTAGGGATGAGTGACAGGGAGTGGGGTAGGGGACGGGATGAATTACCAAGGGCAGGAGGAAAATGGAGGCAAGATCTATGTGTCCATTATCTTACAGGTTTACACATATTTGCAAACTTACCAAATTTGCACTTTAACTATATACAGTTTGTTGTATGTTAATTATATCTCAGTAAAGCTGTTTACAAGACAATTGTATATTTATGTACTGGAACAGCCTTCAAAAGTTAAAATTTATGAACTCGGGTGACATGTATTCGTATGGACAAATCGCAAACATATAAACAAGCTTTACAATGCGTGGAGTGAGACTTGTTACATAAAATTCGATAAACTACAAAAAAAAAATCCCATACGATGTTTAGGCACGCATACATACTTGGGAGTGATCCAGCCTGAATTCAAAAAGGTGTTTTCCTCTGGAGAAGGACTTGAATGAAATTAGGGAGGGACACACAGGGCTTCCACGCTATCAATAATATTTTACTTCCTTTTGAGAAATCTTTTACGCTAATATGATGGAAATATTGAGATTTGGTAAAGCTGGGACTGGGCACGGGGAAGTGGATCATAGTACCTTAAAAATCGTCTGTGTGTTTGAAATTTATCACTTTTTAAAAAGTACACACTTGGCTCGGGGACATTATTTCGGAAGGCAGTCTTAGAAAGCAAACATTACTTGGGAAAGACGAGGCCCAGTTTGGCTTTCTCTTGAGTTACTGCTTTGGCAACATCGCCAAGGACTAGTGGAATCCCAAAGCTCGGAATTCACGGTGACTGAGTCCCTGGCCAGGGCACGTGGTGTCAGAGATACATTTTGAGGAAGAGAAGAGCGTGAGTACCAACGCGCTGGGAAACCGAGGTGCTGGGCAGGGAGCGCCAAGTATGGATTTGGTGCCCCATGAGGGTGCCCAGGGTGGTGTCTGGGCAGTCTTGAGGACGCTGAATCCAGAGAAGGGGCAGTGGGGCTCTCTCACCGGCACTTGGAAGTGGGGAGCTGGAGGAAGAACCGGCAGGACCGTGGGGACCACGGTGGTGACGTGACTTCGGCCGCCATGGGTCTCTGGTGTGGATCCCGAGGCCATTAGACCTGCTGGAAACAGACTCACCGCAAATCCTCCAGCTGGGGGCTTGCCAGGTCGGCAGGGTTGGGACCCACTGGTCCGTACTGGTAATGCTTGCTCTCAGACCATTGTGCAGCCTAGGAAATAAATAAATAAATAAATAGCTCGGCAGCCTTTCTCCTCGGAAGGACTGGCGAGTCTCAAGCCACGAGACTCCCTGGGAAAGAAGTGTCTTATCTCTTCAGTAGGAGGAGATAAATTTCATGTCAACACAGCAAGAGCCGGCAGCAAACTCCAGACTGAGGAAATTAGGTGTTTTATGTTCAGACACGGATGGGTGGTAGAACGCTGCGGCCACAGAGAAAAAGGGTCCCTTCTCTTCACGGCTTTTAAAGTGTACTCCAGATCTCCAGAATTTAAGATCAGTAACCGGACTATGTGGTCGGGCTTTTCTGGAGCCTTATAGAAACGCCAAGTCAGGCCTCATTGGCAATGCAGAGACCTGTGATAACTGAGGATCAGTTGTTAGGACGTAACAATTTTGGGGTGGGGATCCTGCAATACATGTAAAAGCCCATACGTTAAAAGCATTTAAAATGCATTTAAAGAAAAACGAAGGGCTGCTTTTTTTTTTTTAATTTTTTTATTGTTATGTTAATCACCATATATTACATCATTAGTTTTTGATGCAGTGTTCCATGATTCATTGTTTGTTCATAACACCCAGTGCACCATGCAAAACGTGCCCTCCTCAATACCCATCACCAGGCTAACCCATCCCCCCACCCCCCCGAAGGGCTGCTTTTTAGAGCACGTGTAAGGTATAATAAACAGCAAATAAATTGGTATGTATAGGCCTGTGTCCTCACCAAAAGGAGATTCAACCGGCAGGCTGTGTCCATGATGAGCATAGAGCGAATTCCTGAAATTACAACGTGCAAGCAACACTTCCCAAAGGAAAAGAAGAACAGGGCCCACTTGGAAAAATGTCCCCCGTGTCAATGACACTTAACGTATAAAGAGTCTTCTTACGTGTCAGTATCCAGTGTTTCTTTTCAAAAATCAAATTTTACTCGTCTTGTCAGATTTTTAAAATAGTACATAAAAGAGAGTTTTCTAAGGACGAAATTAGTATTTTGCTAAATGCTCGGTGCCTGATTCTGAAGTGTTGTAGCAAGTTAGGACAGTGTTTCCCGAAGGGTGGTTCAGATCAGGGCCGTTTGATCAGAATCACTTAAGTTGGCAAGCTTTTTCGGTAAAGGGCCAGATAATGAATATTTTAGGCTTTGCCATACAGTTGCTGTTGCAACAGTTCACCTCTGCCCAGTGTTGTAGGGTGAAAGCAGCCATAGATGAGTCATAAATGAATGAACGTGGCAGTGTGCCAATAAAACTTTATTTACACAGCTAGGTGTGTGCTGGATATGGCACACAGACCATAGTTTGTGAACACCTGATTCAGAGTAGTGTTTTTCTTTTCTCTCTCTCTCCCTCTTTTTTTAGCTGAAGCCCACAGTCAAAAATAGAGAGGACACAAAGCCCAGCACGCGCGTGTGCAGGCGCACACATGGCAGGGTTTTGCAAAACCGAATTTGCCCTCTGGATCAGGAATGCACTCTGCTACCTTCTTTTCTCCTCTCCTCTCCTCTCCTCTCCTAGTTTGTTTGTAAGTGCTAGTTCTGGCCATACTACTGACCCATCACCTGCAGCTCATTGCCTGTTGGAATGCAGACTCGTACCACTCTGCCAATAACAACTGTTCAGGGAGGGTATTGGAGAGGGGGCCCAAACATTTACAGTTTCTCTTTTCAGAAGATTCCTGCTGATTCTTGTGCACACCATTTTGAAAATCTCCGATCCGGCATGTCAGATGGAATTGTACACTTGAACTAAAATTAAAATTATGCCAACAATTGTTTTCTGTAAAGCATTCCTATGTTTTCAAAGGAGGCTCTCATTTTGGCTTCCTTCAACTTAATGCATGATTTAGGGTTGTTGTTTGGTTGGTTTTGTGTTCTACCTTTTCTGCTCAATGCCACTTTTAATTTCCAGTATCATGATAGAAGAAAAGAAAGAAGAAAATAAGAGTTCAAGCATTGTTGCATTTGTAGTGTGTGGGATGGATCACTGATAGGCAGACGCAAAGGCTAAGTGACTGACACAGTTGTTCTAAAGGAGTATTTTGACTTTATGTTTCTTTTGTTGGAATTGTAGTAAACATCTTTAATTCTGTCGTATGCTTGAATATTTCGTTCACTTGGATTGTTGGGGACTCTTAAGTTATTTTCCGTCCTCTGATGGATGATTTGGACCCTAGGCCTTTCTCAGCTTTACGTCTGGATGTAACTGTGTTAGACGCTACATCCAATTTGGTGTAAAAGAAGTGTTATTTCATTCAACTGATGAACACAGTTAATCTGCTGTGGATGGTCACCGTAATTATAATGCGTTACGTCTTTTACCAGGCTTAATCTCCTACGCCGTTTGCTCCAAGGTCTTGGCACTTCATTCTCTCTTAACTCTCTCCTTGGAGGAATTTTTCTCACTCTTGCCCGAATCATGCCGCTGCTGCCTCTCCGTGCAGCATGAATTTCCTTTGTTTGCTGCAGTACGACATAGCTGGAATCAGATGGTCCTTAGAGGCCTCCAAGTTCTGACATCTCCTTCCTTCCTTTTCTTCGATTAAAGTTGCATGGGGATGCTAATGATGACTTGGAGAAAGAAGGAATTTCTTGGAGTTAGCAGGAATTCTGGAGGGGGCCGGAGCCAGCCTGGTCTGTAAGACAGATTAACTGGCTTCCTCCCTACCCTTTCACCCAGGGCTGTTTTCCATTCCGGAATGATCCTGAAGCCGGCCAAGACCTGTCCCGGGCTGTGTGGATGGGGCACTGGGCGCCCGGCAATTCCAATTAGCAGTCTAATTTTGACTTGGCTTCTGGCCAGAGGGCTTCATCTCACGGCACATTTCAGACACCCTAGCGAATGGTCAAGTGGGTTACCGTGCACTTATCTTGGCCTACCCCCGAGGTTACGGTCAATTACGTCTGAGGGTCGTTTTCAAGCAAGACAGAATCAGGAATTGGAATGGAGGTTGGAGCCAAACATGCATTTTTATCCCGACTGGGAAATGCTTATCAAAATAGTTCTTAGTTATCAAGGAAGCACAAAGTACCTGGAAATGACGTTCCCAGTGAGGGGAAAGGGCCCAGCTGTGCTTTCTTTGGCTTTCTCTCATCTGCTCAACAGGAAAAATATTAATCAATGGAAAAGACGCTGGCTTTCTGTTCATTTAACACACGAGTTTTAGATCGTGTGGGAAATAGTAATACCTCATGTTTTCACATCACAGTTCTATGCCGTGGATTGCAAAGACCTTTTGGGAAAAGGGTTCTTACTTAAGCCACACATTTGCACCTTACGGGGATGTCTTATTTTCTTGATGGCCTAGCTGAAACCCTGAGACAGAGAAAGTCCCAGCGGCCGCTGCCGTCTTACAGTAATTGAGCGGAATAGTGAGGGAAGAGGTCTGGTGACCCTTGTAGCTTGCCATTAGGCAACACCTTTTTTCCCCATCAACAAGGAAGCAATTCACAATAAAGTATTTTCTCATAAAACAAATTAGCGACGCTTCTCCAAGGAGATCAAGAATTGTCCAAGCCAGGCGTCCCCGAACGGGGATTTCCATATTTCTCCGCCCACTCTTTGGACTTTCACTGAAGGACAACTTCCGTGCAGCGCGATGCACACGTTGGAAGGGTCCAGCCTGATGCATGTTCCCTCTGCAAGCCCACCCACCTAACCATCTCCATGCCTCTTTTCAAGGTGATGAGGCTTCGCAAACTGGCTCAGCAGATTGCAAACTGCAAGCAGTGCATCGAGCGGTCCGCGTCCCTCATCTCCCAGGCGGAACACTCTCTGAAGGAGAATGATCATGCGCGGTTCCTACAGACGGCTAAGAATATCACCGAGAGGTGAGTTGCGGGGGCTGCTGGGAAGTTCTCAGCCGCCGAGCTCCTGTGTCTGGGGAGTGATCGGCCGGCCTTGCCCTCGCCTGGCTTTTGTTTTCATTTTCGAGGCTGAGAGGCTGAGTACCGGGGAGAATAGAGGCTTTGAGTTGCTTTGTTCCAGCTAAAGATGCTTCCCTTTGACATGTCAAAGCCTTTTCAGTAGCGCCCTGGAGTTCAAGGCCTTTGAAACAAGAGTCCCCCGGTTGGAAAGAATAAAATCAGCCTTGCTTTGGGGGGGGGGGGGGGGGGGCGGGGGGGGGGGGGGGGAGAAAGCCTACCGTGGCACAAAAACGACAGTTATTGTAACTCTCGGACCTGATCTTATCGTACGCTTGGTAACAAAGAGTCAAAATGAAGGCAAAAACATAAAAGGGAATCTTTTCTTCCATCTCAGGGCTCATCTATTAAAAAGAAAGCAAACGCCCAGGTGTTGTGCTCTGTTAGACCTATTTTTATTTGGTTGAGAAGGTTCGCCTGGATAGAAAGGTCAAAGCTGACTCATGTGGGAGAGAAAGGACCCAACTGTCAATCTCATACCTCTTTCTTTTAAAGGGTCCTTTATTCTGGGGCAGGGCACATAAAGAGAACATTATTCGAATGGTCAGTTCAGCAGTGAAACTGATGGGAGTCACTGCTCCTTCGCTCCGCGTCCGTCTGGATTGGCCTAAACTTAACTCGCCTTGGCTGCTGCAAACACCTACAGCAGTTGTTAGCAGAGCCAAAAAAAAAAAAAAAAAAAAAACCACCTCACTCCACCTAAATGATACCTCCAACCCCTGCCAGTGCCCTGGACTTTCCATTCATTCTCATTTTTGGAGGCCCCCTGCCCCATATACAAAGCAATAATAGAATCCTATCACAGGACAGCTCATTCATGCTGGTCTTTATCCTAGAGCAGAAGTCTGCAAACTTCGATAAAGGGCCGGAGACGAAATATTTCAGCTCTGCAGGTTCTAAGGTCTCTTTCCCAACTACTCAGCTCTGCGGTGATTAACTCCATAGCAGCCGATCATAGACAATACAGAAACAAACGGGCGTGCCTGTGTTTCTACCAACACTTCCCCAAACAGGTATTTGGCCCTCTGGCTGTATTTTGCCAAGCCCTGGCCCAGGGGAAAAAAATACTCACTGTCGTCTGACTTGCATTTCTTCAAGGAAAGAGAAAGAAAACTAACCTTAATTGAGTGCGTGCTTGTGTCGGGCACTGTGCTAATTCTCAACATAGCCCTTGGAGGTAGGCGTTGATGTTTCTGTTCTCACCGTTCTTTGAGTCAGAGTAACATACAGTGGTTTTACAGCTCTGGTCTTGTATCGAACCAGCTTCGTGGTGTCATTTCTTATATTTGAGAAAAAACTCTTCTGCAACTGGTTACGATACTTAATCTCTTCCAAAGCACGTGGCCAACAGCTGCTTATCATCCTGTTTATATCCTTAAAATGATCCCTCCCTACTCTTAAGAGAAGCCAGTTTCTTTGCTCAGGACTCCTAGGTTCCCAGTGTGTGTCTTCACAGCTCTCCTCTGGACTGTATCCAGTTGCTTTATGTTCATCCTAAGGTTAAAAACTGTAAACGGTGCTAATACTCCGGTGTACCTAGGACACTCTCCTAGACCCTGTTTACACTTACGTCGTGGTTTCCAACTGGAATCCAAGAGTACTTTTCTCCAGCTACAAATCATGAGATGTCCAGATGAAATGGCTACTATGAGCTGCATTTCTCAGCACTCCCTAAAAATTTGATCAAGTGTAATATGAACAAACTCACACCTATCGAGGGGAGAGAATGTGGCCCCATAACAGTTGGGATAGGACATTCTGAAAGAAGACCTACCTTTGAAGTATAACATAAGCGCATGAATGTCCCACATGTGATCTCCCACAGATCCAGCCCGTCATAACCGGTCCCATTCACCTCTACCTGTAACAAGCCCATCTCTTCAAGAACAGAAACATGACTTTGATTTTTCTTTCTACAGATAGTGAACTGTATGATACAGTTGACCCTTGAACAGCATGGGTTTGAACTGCTCAGGTCCACTTATACACGTTTTGTTGTTTTTTTTTTTTTTTTAAATAAATACAGTGCAGTACTGTAAATGTATTTTCTCCATCATATTTTCTATAGTAATATTTCTTAATATTTCTAATACTATTTTCTTCTCTCTAGCTTACTTTATTGTAAGAATGCAGAGTATAATACATATAACATACAAAAGATGTGTTAATCGATGCTTTATGTTATCACTGAGGCTTCTGGTCCCTGGTAGGCTCTTAGTAGTTAAGCTTGGGGGAGTCAGAAGTTATTCACGGATTTTCCACTGGGTGGGGGTCAGCGCCCCTAACCCCCACATTGTTCAAGGGTTAACTGTGTACTGTATTCTCAAGCCTCGCTAATATATAGTCTTGGTGCAATTGTATGTGCACTTTTATAAAATCATTTTAAATAAGCAAAACTGTTCACTAAATCCAGGCGTAAGAAAGTCGGCCTCCTGCTTATGAGAAGGCTAAAGTTCCATCAAGTTTGAAGATGCAGCCCCTCTCTTCCTGTCTCTGTTGGCAGTCCTCTTGGTCAGTTCCTGGGCCTTTCTCTCTTTCCGGGAACGGAAGGTCGTGAAAGGGCAGGGGGCTTGGACCAGGACCTGCGAAACTTGGGCGGCGATCCCAGCACTGCCACTTTTTAACTATGATCCTTTGGGTTCATCTGTGAGCTATTTTCTGCATAGAGTGTTGGGCTCATAGGGGCGCCCGGGTGGATTAGTCCATTAAGCGTCTGACTTGGCTCACGTCATGATCTAGGGTCCTGGGATCGAGCCCGCATGGAAGCTCTGCTCAGCGGGGAGTCTGCTTCTCCCTCTGCCCCTCCCCCCACCCATGCGTTCCCTCCCCCCCCTCAGATAAATAAAATCTTTTTTTAAAAAAAAAGAAAAAAAGAAAATTGGGCTCATAATAGCTACCTCTATCAGTCGTTGTAATAATATTGTTGATGACTCCTAAGAACAGGCCTTTAGCATCATAGATACTCCATGACGTCTGTTGGATTTAAGTTCTCATAGTTTAGTATGTCAGTACGGTCCCGCCTTGTATGTCTATTCTGGGGCTGGTCTCTGCCTGTCTCTACTCTTCAGTCCTTTACTTAGTAAACATTCTTCTCTAGGACATGACTTCATAATTCTCTGCCTCCTATTGTGTCTGCCTTGGGCTTTGGCACCTGTACACTTCTAAACCATCTCTATTGTTCTATTCAAGCGGGGGAAAGCCCGGAACAAACTTTCAATCCTGCAAGCCTTCCTAAAGGGAGACTGGAATGAGATTTTTTCTGCATCTTTAAATCACTTAAGGTAGATATGTTCATCTACAGGCTGAATCAAACTGCAAAAAGGTTTTCGATTCAGAAACATAAAAAAACAAAAAACAAAAAACCCAACGACACCCGAAGGAGAGAGACCCTCAAGCTTTACATTGTAGGAGATGCATATGCTTTGGAATCCAGTGTCTGGCTCTGTGCTAATTGCTTAGCAGGAATTGTGGACGGCACTGGGGCTGCTCCTTTAACACTTGTGAGTCTAATTTTGCGCATACGCTCCTAGCAGGTAGAAACCCCGGCCGCCTTGTTTTCACCATTCTGGCCCCAGCACATAGCAAACTGCCTGACATGAATGAATGAGTGAACAAACTATAAAACAGGTCAATTATTGCTACCTAATCTGGTTGTTATAGGGACAAAATCAAATAGTATAATAAAACTATTAGTCCGGTTCCTGTCCCAAGGTGATCGTGCAACAAATGCTAATTCCCTTCCCTCCCACTTACTAAAATGACGCACATGGATTGCATAACATACTATATTCTCAAGCCACACTAATATATAGGTCTTCCGTATGATTGTATGAGCATCTTTATAAAATTGCATTAAGTAAGCAAAACTCATCGAAGCATAAGAACTTGCTTATGAGAAATCTGAAATTAAAATCACTTGTAGCAGCAAATTATCTAGAGGATGGTAAAAAGAAACTTCCCTCTGAACAGTACTCATTTTTCAGAGCTCCTAGGAGGGTGTCCGACTCCTCTGTCCTTCGGCACCATAGGCAGTTCAAGGGTCCGTCAGACTTAGCCAGAATATAAAGCTAAGAGCTCCAGTTGTCAACGATGGAAAGATGTCACTTGATTTTTAAGAATTCAAGCACGTATGATGAGTGGGTTTTGAAGTGTGTTCTGGTAGGGTGTTAATTGGTGTTAAAACAACAAAGTTTCAGAGCCAAATGCATTTGGGAAATCATCCTGAGCAGACCAAAGCAAACCACGTTTTGTTGCTGTGAGACCTCACTGGGTTTTACCACGGTGATTTTCCCACTCGCCCAAGAGAGACCCATGTAAGTGCCGTTGTCAGGGGTCGGGCACGGGGGCCGATATTAGGCAGGAAGGGTAGAGCATCTTCCTCTGGCATTGACTGACAGAGAGCCTGCGAGCCGTGTAGCTCCAGACACGTCCACCTTCTGGAAAACTGGCCCCATGTGGCCCTGGCAAACTGTCATGGAGATTAGGAGCGTCGAAGTCAAAATAGAAACAGGAACTAATGTGCAGGTCACCCCCTTAAGCATCAAGATAGGACACAATGTCCTTATTTGCCTCAATATGGTAAGAGCTTAACACACACTCACAAGCATGTGCACACACGGGCATATAGGTACACACACACACACACACACAAATATGAAAGCACAGAATTGCAAAAGTGGCCATAAGACTGATGACCCTGGTGGATTTTGGCAACTCATCTGAAAGGCCAGAAGATGGGCAACAAGGATTTGGGGAATAAAAACATGGCCTAAAATGTTGAATCTGGCAGATCTCCCCTTGCCTGTCACTCCAATTACGAATTTGAAATTGTAGCCAAAGATAAATATCTTCCCTTCCATCAAAAAACTGTGTAGGTGTTAAAAGCTGCAGTCATCTGCACGGATTCTTGCTGTCAGTCTTTGCCTCCCAGGCTTAGGAACTTCCAGCCTCTCCGTTCCCACTCCACAAAGTTCCCACCAGCAAGATGGCAGGCTTTTTTTTTTTTTTTTTTTTTTAACACTGTCACTTGCCCGAAGCACGTTTCAGTTAACTGTGGATCACAGAACCAGGAGAAACTTGGGAGTGAAATCTATTTTGGGTGAGCCTGAGCAGAAGCTTCTGCCCCTGGACCGGGAAAGCGCTAAAGCGAGATTATCTGTTCAGAGCACTCAGGATCCTCTCAGCCCGAGATCGGTGCCACACAAGAACGACAGAGAAATGCGAAAGAAAGGTGGCCGTTTCTTCAAAGCTCAGTGCAGTTTTCCCTGCTGGACATCATGAAACATTCTAATTGGGGTTTCGCTTTGAAATTTTTATTTGAAGAGTTCATGTGGTACTATAGCATTTCTTTTAACTTTTCTGCACTGACGCAAATTTTTTGGGCTCTTTAAGAGCTTCGTATATATTTGTTGAGTAATCCCGAGATCGCTCTGAGTTTGGAGGAGTTTTTGTGATCATGGGTCATAAGGAAAGCATTTTTTAAGTACAGTTTGACTATCTGTGAAAACTGGCTAGCAACCATGCCTATATCTACCAGTCTAAATTATCAGGTCTTCGTCACAACGATTAGCCCATTCCCCTTGGGTGCGCTCTTTCGCCAACAAAATCCCCAAACTCTGCTGGTCGCTGTTTCTTGGTGAAAGAGTTAGGTGGTGAATTTAGATTCTCCACCCTCATTCAAACACTTGAAACTTTTCTTTCCAGAGTTTATGCCTCTTCAAACTTTTCATCAGTGGATCCCAGGATCATCCCGGTTATTACATTGTTAATTATCCCATCTACTTCCCTCCCTATACAAAGCTGAAAATGGTCCAGAAGTGCAATTATAGAAACTTCATTTCTAAGGATTTTGAGCACCTCACAGGTGTAACTTACACTGAGGTAAAATTCAGAGAAGATAAAATTAACCATTTTAATGTGTGCAATCCAGTGGCATTTAGTACATTCACAATGTTGTGCAATTCCTACCTCTGTCGAGTTCCAGAATCTTTTCATCCCCCCCCCCCCCGGTAAACTCCATACCCACTATGTAGTCATCGTCCATTGCCCCCGCCAAGCCCCTGGCAACCACTAATCTCTCTGTCTCTATGCATTCGCCTATTCTGGACATTTCATACAAATGGATCATGCAATACATGGCCTTTTGTGTCGGGTTTCTTTCACTTAGTGTAACACTCTCAAGGTTCATCCACACTGTTGTGTGTATTAGTACTTCACTCCTTTTTATGGATGAATAATATTGCATCGTATGGATAGACCCACAAGTGTAATTTTTAAATAGCAAAAATACATATCTTTATAAAATACAAAGTTTTAAGAGCCATTAAGAGACACAAAAGGAGATACATCTCCTTAGGTAACCAGGTTGAAATTTTTCTAGATTAAATGGAAGAGTATAGACCTAGCTGCCAGCTGGCTTTGTGACTTTGTATAAATGAGCATCAATACTCTTAATTAGAAAATAGCTAGATTTGGGCGCCTGGGTGGCTCAGTGGGTTAAGCGACTGCCTTCGGCTCAGGTCATGATCCCAGAGTCCTGGGATCGAGTCCCACGTCGGGCTCTCGGCTCAGCGCGGAGCCTGCTTCTCCCTCAGACCCTCTTCCCTCTCATGCTGTTTCTCTCTCTTTCTCTCGCTCAAATAAATAAATAAATAAAATCTTTAAAAAAAAAAAGAAAATAGCTAGATTTAGAGCTGAACCATTTCAGAGTGTTGCTTTGCTCACAAATTCCCAGCACCCTACACAGTACCCTACACATAGTCGGTCCTTGGTGGTGTTTACCGAACTTTGTGAAATACCCAGATCAACAAGATTACGGGTCTAGCATAGTCTGATATGCTCAGACATGGTTTATGTCATGCCACAATTGTATCGTTTTTAAGAGGATCGCTTGCATTTTTTAATTAGTCAAGACATTCTGCTATTAGGAACTGAACTTTGCAAATCAACTTGAGCTTAACACACACGTAGCAGGAGATTGTCTCATAGCAGGAGAGTCATATTTACCAATACGTAGCTTTATAGTTTATAAATGAGAAATCTTAACTTGCAACTGTAAATGAAGAGGGAAAATGGTGCATCCATTGGAGGAATTTGTGAGAAAGCTCATGAATATTTTCCATGGCATCTGCTGGGAATATGGTGCAAAAAAAAAAAAAAATGAATACAAGGAGAACGAAACGAGCCAGACAAAAACTCCATTTTTAATGTTTACTTTAGAAAGAGGTTGGTAATTGATTAAACTAATCCAATATCTGGAAACATTCTTTTTAAATCTTCACTTTGCCTTTTATGCAGTTTGAAATTTTGGAGACTCCTCTTTGAAGTGGAGCAGGGTCGAGTCTAAAAGGAACGAACAGTTTCCCAGACAGATGTGTGAAGAAATGCCTAGAGCTATGTGCTTCTCGCTGGGGTTAGATGTGAAGGGGCCAGGCTGTTAAATACACAGCCACATGAAATATGAATATTCTTTCACCTCCGTGGGGAATTTTTTTCCGGTAGTAAAAAGGAAGGGGGGGCAGCCATTCTACTGTTTCCCCAATTCCTTTGCCTCGTCTTTAAGCTTGCATTCATTTGCATTGTGTTGCTGTGTTGTGCTATTCCCAGGTTCTTTTTGAGGCTCCCGTGGAAAAACAGCACTATTTTAAAATGATACTTGTTTTCTTTTTATTTCTTTTTCATTCCTAGGCGGCAATGGTGAAAGGCATCTTGACATTTCTAAAAAGTTGTTCTGTTTAAATTACAGAGTCTCCATGGCAACTGCATCATCCCAGGTCCTAATTCCTGAAATCAACCTCAATGACACATTTGACACCTTTGCCTTAGATTTTTCCCGAGAGAAGAAATTGCTAGAATGTCTGGATTACCTTACAGGTATTGTCTTGTGTGTGTGTGTGTGCGCGCGCGCGGGCGCGTGCATGTGCTTTAATATTGTGTACATTCAGTGATACGCATACTTTGCCACCACGTCGGTTCCCTAAAAACCAGAGGTGTGGGCTCCTGATTTAGGAACAGAGTCTAGTATTCCCATAAATGATTTCTGGCACACTTTTTTTTTCCCCACCCAAAATGACACGGTCTGAGACCAAATTGGGGACAGAGGAAAAGGGAGACTCTCGATAATTAAAAACATACTTCCCACCATTTTCTCTCTGCTGGCCATCAGAGAGATACACAAAGTAGCGTGGCTATTGTCCACTTCATCTCGGCAAGGCATCTGACTCTCACAGTGCCCTGGCAGAGAAAAAAATTGGCAGCTAACTCTTGATTGGGTGTCTACTACTCTGCCTCAGCTCCTTGTATCCGAGACCTTGTATAATCTTCACACCATCAAACTGAGGTAGCATGTTATAATCCTCATTTTGCAGATGACGGAGGTCACCCATCTCGCTGGAGGTCAGGTAGCTAGCGAGTGGCAGAATTAGGATTTGGCTTGGGTCCGTACGGACTCCAAAGACCTCTTGCTCTTTCTGGTAAAAGACGTCATTTCATCTTGGCAAAAGGTCACCATGGCAAACGTCCCAAAAATCACATGTGAATTCCTGGTGCCATGTTTCTGATAGGCTTTTTTTTTTTTTTTTTGGTCAAGCTTACAAAACAAAAGGAACCGCAATAAAAGAAAACCTCTGGCTACTCCTATTCCTAACCATCCAGATTTTTCTTTGCTGTCAACCTCGAGAATGAGAATTGAAATCATTCACTGGTAGAATGTGGACTGTTTAGATGACCTTTATTCGTGTTAGCCAAAGCCACCGGTGCCTATGACTTCAGGAGGGTGCCAGATGTGCACCGAACCGAGGACATGCAGCCTTCGAGAGACCACATCCCTAACTTAGCGTGGCATCAGCTTCCCCACTCCAGTTCCGTGTGTGCGTGGTTGGAAAAGATGGAGCAGGAGAAAGGGAACATTGTGAGATGTTTGTTTTTACAGTCTGTGGATCAGAAGCGAGGAGTTTTGTATCCAAGGGGCATGATACCCAGATAGGTTTTTGCTTTGCAAGAAGCCGAGGTGCTGTTTTTAGCCTTTCTGTATTTGCAAGGGAAGCAGTCATCCCACAAACTTCTTCTCTTACATCATTCTTTCAAACCGTACCGCTCCTATTAAGGAAGAAAGAAGTTGACTCCAAAATGCACTTGCAGTAAGGAACCAAACTTGGTTTCAAATATTTATTAATTTACTGCCCTCCTTTTTTAAGCTTTAACTCCGGAGTCTGTCTAAACTAACACTACCCCCTAGAACCTTCCACACTGGTAGAAACATTCTGTATCTACACTGTCCATTATGGTAGCTGCTGACCACATGGGGCTATCAAAAACTTGAAATGTACATAGTGAGCCTTTACTTTTATTTGACTTTAATGCAACCTAATTGAAATGTAAAAAGCTTGCGGCTACTGTATGAGACAGTGCAGGTCTAGACTTTCTCTGGTTGAGCTGGTTTTCGTGATGGCATCCTATGAAAAATCTTTTTTTTTTTTTCCCCCCCTCTTACATCATTTGGGATTGAGTATGATTGCAACAACAGAAAATCCAGTTAGCGGTGACTAAACGCATCAAGGGGTGTTTGTATCACGCAAACCCAAGCACGGAGGTATGAGCTCCAGGCCGGGGCAGCGGCTCAGTGAGGACCTCAGACCCCAGGCTGTTGCTCTTTGTCTCTTCTGCCACCTTTGCTGGGTTGCCTTTTTGCCACATGCTCACAGCATAGCTGCCCTGCCTCCATGCATCGTGCTCAAGTCACAGGTAAAAAGGGAGGGACGCAGGGGAAACGGGGACAAAAATCTGTCTTTGTTTATTAGGAAAACAAAAAGCTTGCTCAGGAGACCCATCTGGCAAATTCCCACTTGTGTCTCATGGGCCAGATCCGCCTCACAAGGTCATGCCCAAGGACAAAGAGGACTGAAAGACTGTTGGGCCGGGCCCATGACCTTTCTGCACAAAATCAGTGTCTTGTTGACCTGAGTGTGTCCTCCCCATTTCCCAAGAATCGTCTGATGGTGTTCCGGTGGGCATACGTTCACGGGCTATGTCTGCATGCGAATGCCAAGGCAGTGATTAGAAGGGAAAGTGTGAACGTAGCCCGCACTGACTAGGACCGTGTGCGCCATATATCATCCCGATGGCTGTTTATGCCAAGCTTGAGACCACATGGGGTACCTGCCATTCTGCCTTCTGAACTTCAAACCTCAAATACAAATCTGGCCCATTTCTAGACATAACATCGATCCTGGCCATAACATATGATGCTTGGCTGGTATTGCCCAGTCCAAATAGTTTATCAGACATTTGTAAGCAGGAAATGAAGTGTTTGTGGAGTATTAGCCCACCATTTCTCGTGTCCTGTTTATGACAGAGGCAAGAAAATAACAGTTCTGCTACCAATCCCACGAATATTGAAATTGGCAGCATGCTGCTGTTCTCATTTACGGTAAATTGGGTATTGACTTTTCAGGACAAACCCATTGGGCTTATAATCAAAACAGGGTTAGCCTGCATGGCTGTGAAAACAAGATTTTTTTTTTTTTCCTCCCCGTGACATGCCTCTAAGTGGTATGTCAAGTTAATAACCCAGAGAGGTGACATTTCCTCCCCGATCGCGGCTACCGCCATGTGTCTCACAGCTACTGGCTTATTTTGAACATAAGTTTGCTTTCTCTTTAATCCTGTATTGCAATGCAGAAAGGACAAAATCTTTCTACAGTGGTTGATGGAAAAGTAATTCAATGGACTGCTTAGATTATGGGAGAATAAGCATTTCTCCACCGCTCCCTGCTGGGTGATCGCGCACCAACAGGGACCACACAGACAATCATAAGGACATTTTATGGTGCAGCTGGGCCTCCCCCGCAGAATACATCTCTGGCTTGGTGTCGCTGATTCATGCACATCCAAGTCACAGCACATGACACTAAATCTTGCATGTGGATACTTCAGGAGACAGATGTATAAATACATAGTCCAGAAAGAACGCTTTAGGGGCTCTATAGAGCCCTTCTATCTTAATACATGACTTAATGCAGTGCCTGCCCACATGTATAGGCGTGCAGTAATGCTCGTGGAATTCAGTAAGCGAGACACAAAGCTGGTCTAATTGACTTTATACAAACATAAAAGTTACTTGCTGTGTACGGTATTTGTCCTGGACATCTCTGCAGCGGACAAAATGAAGAAGCCTAAAACAGTTCGAGTTTTCAGTTTACCATATTTATAAACTCATCTCCTTCTTTGGGTTTGTTTAGGACTCCTCAGTCCTCATCAAAGTTAAGGGCAGGAAAGAACTCTGCAATAGTGTGAACAGAGGTTGCTACAAATCTATAGAATGCAGATATGTTTCTCCTTTTGAAGTTAGGTTCTCATATACAGAAGAGTGGCAATAAAGGCCCGGATCGATTCTCTAAACCAGGGGTTGGCAAACTTTGACTATAAAGGGCCAGATGGTAAATATTTTAGGCTTTGCAGGACATATGGTCCCAACTACTCAACTCTGCTAGTGCACAAAAGCAGCCACAGACAATACATAAATGAATGAGCCTGGCTGTGTTCCAATAAAACTTTATTTACAAAAACAGGCAGTGGGCCAGATTTGGCCCATAGCCATAGTTTGCCAACCCCTGCTCTGAAATACTGTTGCCGGTGCAGAGCACTCACTGCCTAGCCTTTTTCTTGCTCACAAACTCTTCTCATTAAACCAGTTACGGAAATCGAGCTGGTAGATTTTTGAGTCAACTTCAGTCATTATTTTGGTGGGATTTGGGCTTCTCTGCTCCAGACTGTGTTCAAGACATAAAACAGCAACCTTCTCCAGTGATAAAGTTAACCAAATGCCAAGGAACTATGTTTTCTTTGGGGAAGGAAAATGTACTTCTTAGATATGATTGATTGTTGATCATGTTCTTCTTAATTTGAAATATCACCTATAAATTGAAAAATGAGAAGAAAATGGGGCTACACTAATGAAGTGGGTTTTTTTTTTTAAGATTTTATTTATTTATTTGACACAGAGTGAGAGAGATAGCGAGAGAGGGAACAGAAGCAGGGGGAGTAGGAGAGGGAGAAGCAGACTCCCCACTGAGCAGGGAGCCCGATGCAGGGCTTGATCCCAGAACCTCAGGATCATGGACTGAGCCACCTAGGCGCCCCAGGTTTTTTTGGGTTTTTTTTGTTTTTTTTTAAATAAGTCATCAAAACATCTAATGAAAGAAAATTTTCAAACAACCATTTGACTGGTTTGTTGCAGGATAACAAACATTGGTATTTTTCCAGTTGGGTATATAAATATAAAAATAGGTGACTTCACAAAGCTCCGAGGTTGGCAAACTTTGGCTCGTAGGCCAAATCTAGCCCTCACCGGTTTTGTAAATAAAGTTTTACTGGAAGCTGCCCACGTCCATTTGAGGATGAATTGCCCATGGCTAACTTCATAGTTCAGCAGCAGAGTTGAGTAGGTACAACAGAGACCGTATGGCCCTCAGACCCTAAAATATTTACCACCTAGCCTTTTGCCATCTCCCCAGTGTGGAAAAGTTTGCCATCTCCCCAGTGTGGATGAAATCACAGAAGTTCATCTTGTTTGTTTTTTGTTTAATACTTTTTTTTCATGGATAAGAGTATTATTTGCTTAACCTCCTAAACGTACTTTCATGTGAAATAGAGATAAGTCCCTACTGGCTGGCTAAGTCACGCTACCTGTTAACAATCACAGCAGCAACCAGCCAACCAAACGTTCATTCTTTGGATTGGGGTCACCACCTCTGGGATGGATAGTGGTCCTGATGGACCTGTGTAGAAAGGCCTGCTATGACTGTCACACATCTCCTCTGAACTGTGTCCCGGAGGTGCCTGCCTCTTCGCTGATGAGCATTCTTGATCCCCACAGCTCCCAACCCTCCCACGATTAGAGAAGAGCTCTGCACCGCTTCCTATGACACCATCACCGTTCATTGGACCTCCGATGATGAGTTCAGTGTGGTTTCCTATGAGCTCCAGTACACCATATTCACCGGACAAGCCAACGTTGTTAGTGAGTATTGCACCCCGTATCGATTCCTCTGTTTGGTGACTGTTTTCAGTTAGATCGCATTTCTAAATTGAAGCGTCAAGGGAAGACGAGGAAGGAAGGAATATGCTGTATTGGCTGCATTTCCTAACCAAGAAGATGGTAGCGTTCACTTGTACTATACTAGCAAAAATAGCGAGCCAAAGAGTGGTGAACATTAGTCATCTCTAGCAAACCACACGGATGAGTCTTACAAACATATGGTTAAGAGAAAGAAGCAGGAAACAAAAGAATACATGCGTGAATCTGTTTATACAGTCATAATTTAAAGATAAAAAAGAAAACTATTTTGTGGGGCACCTGGGTGGCTCAGTCGGTTAAGTGTCCGACTTGATTTCGGCTCGGGTCATGATAGAGCCCTGCATCGAGCTCCACTCTCAGCGGAGAGTCTGCTTCAGATTCTTTCTTCCTCTGCCCCTCCCCGCCCACTCGCACATGCACATGTGCACTCTCTCTCTCTCTCAAATAGGTAAATCTTAAAAAAAGAAACTGTTTTGTTTAGAGATGCATACATAGGTGTAAAAACTACAAATAAAAGCGAAGATGATGGTTGCTTCCGGGATGGGAAGGGAGTGGCACCATTGGGAAGCAACACCTGGGGGGGGTCATGGGGTTAACTACTTTCTGGGTGGGAGGTACATGGTTTAGTCATTATATCATACATTTAATATTTTTATTTTTTTTTAATTTTTTATTGTTATGTTAATCACCATACATTACATCATTAGTTCTTGATGTAGTGATCCATGATTCATCGTTTGTGCATAACACCCAGTGCTCACGGCAGAAGTTCCCTCCTTAATACCCATCACCAGGCTAATCCATCCCCCCACCCCCTCCCCTCTAGAACCCTCAGTTTGTTTTTCAGAGTCCATCGTCTCTCGTGGTTCCTCTCCCCCTCCGACTTACTCGCCTTCATTCTTCCCCTCCTGCTATCTTCTTCTTTTTCTTTTTTCTTAACATATCTTGCATTATTTGTTTCAGAAGTACAGATCTCTGATTCCACAGTCTTGCACAATTCACAGCGCTCACCATAGCACATACCCTCCCCAATGTCTATCACCCAGCCACCCAATCCCTCCCACCCCCTACCACTCAGCAACACTCAGTTTGTTTCCTGAGATTAAGAATTCCTCATATCAGTGAGGTCATAGGATACATGTCTTTCTCTGATTGACTTATGTCACTCAGCATAACACCCTCCAGTTCCATCCACGTCGTTGCGAATGGCAAGATCTCATTCCTTTTGATGGCTGCATAATATTCCATTGTGTACATATACCACGTCTTCTTTATCCATTCGTCTGTCGATGGACATCTTGGCTCTTTCCACAGTTTGGCTATTGTGGACATTGCTGCTATAAACATTGGGGTGCACGTACCCCTTCGGATCCCTACATTTGTATCTTTGGGGTAAATACCCAGTAGTGCAATTGCTGGATCGTATGGTAACTCTATTTTCAACTGTTTGAGGAACCTCCATACTGTTTTCCAGAGTGGCTGCACCAGCTTGCATTCCCACCAACAGCGTAGGAGGGTTCCCCTTTCTCCACATCCCCGCCAACATCTGTCGTTTCCTGACTTGTTCATTTTAGCCATTCTGACTGGTGTGAGGTGGTATCTCATTGAGGTTTTGATTTGGATTTCCCTGATGCCGAGCGATGCTGAGCACTTTTTCATGTGTCTGTTTGCCATTTGGATGTCTTCTTTGGAAAAATGTCTGCTCATGTCTTCTGCCCATTTCTTGATTGGATTATTTGTTCTTTGGGTGTTGAGTTTGATAAGTTCTTTATAGATTTTGGATACTAGCCCTTTATCTGATATGTCATTTGCAAATATTTTCTCCTATTCTGTCGGTTGTCTTTTGGTTTTGTGGACTGTTTCTTTGGCTGTGCAAAAGCTTTTTATCTTGATGAAATCCCAATAGTTAGTTCATTTTTGCCCTTGCTTCCCTTGCCTTTGGCAATGTTTCTAGGAAGAAGTTGCTGCAGCTGAGGTCGAAGAGGTTGCTGCCTGTGTTCTCCTTTAGGATTTTGATGGACTCCTGTCTCACGTTTAGGTCTTTCAACCACTTGGAGTCTATTTTTGTGTGTGGTGTAAGGAAATGATCCAGTTTCATTCTTCTGCATGTGGCTGTCCAATTTTCCCAACACCATTTGTTGAAGAGACTGTCTTTTTTCCATTGGACATTCTTGCCTGCTTTGTCAAAGATGAGTTGACCATAGAGTTGAGGGTCCATTTCTGGGCTCTCGATTCTGTTCCATTGATCTATGTGTCTGTTTTTGTGCCAGTACCATACTGTCTTGAGGATGACAGCTTTGTAATAGAGCTGGAAGTCTGGCATTGTGATGCCGCCAGCTTTTCTTTTCTTTTTCAGTATTCCTCTGGCTCTTCGGGGTCTCTTCTGGTTCCATACAAATTTTAGGATTATTTGTTCCATTTCTTTGAAAAAAGTGGATGGTATTTTGTTGGGGATTGCATTGAATGTGTAGATTGCTCTAGGTAGCACTGACATCTTCACAATGTTTGTTCTTCCAATCCATGAGCATGGAACATTTTTCCATTTCTTTGTGTCGTCTTCAATTTCTTTCATGAGTATTTTATAGTTTTCTGAGTACAGATCCTTTGCCTCTTTGGTTAAATTTATTCCTAGGTATCTTATGGTTTTGGGTGCCATTGTAAATGGGATCGACTCCTTGATTTGTCTCTCTTCTGTCTTGTTGTTGGTGTATAGGAATGCCACTGATTTCTGTGCATTGATTTTATAGCCTGCTACTTGACTGAATTCCTGTATGAGTTCTAGCAGTTTTGGGGTGGAGTCTTTTGGGTTTTCCACATACAGTATCATATCATCTGCAAAGAGTGAGAGTTTGACTTCCTCTTTGCCGATTTGGATGCCTTTGATTTCTTTTTGTTGTCTAATTGCTGTGGTTAGGACTTCTAATACTATGTTGAATAGCAGTGGTGAGAGTGGACATCCCTGCCGCGTTCCTGACCTTAGGGGAAAAGCTCTCAGCTTTTACCCATTGAGAATGATATTCGCTGTAGGTTTTTCTGTAGATGGCTTTTATGATATTGAGGTATGTACCCTCTGTCCCTATACTCTGAAGAGTTTTGATCAAGAAAGGATGCTGTACTTCGTCAAATGCTTTTTCTGCATCTATTGAGAGGATCATATGATTCTTGTTCTTTCTTTTGTTAATGTATTGTATCACGTTGATTGATTTGCGCATGTTGAACCAGCCTTGCAGCCCAGGAATAAATCCCACTTGGTCGTGGTGAATAATCCTTTTAATGTACTGTTGGACCCTATTGGCTAGTATTTTGGTGAGAATTTTTGCATGCATGTTCATCAAGGATATTGGTCTGTAGTTCTCCTTTTTGTTGGGGTCTTTGTCTGGTTTTGGGATCAAGGTAATGGTGGCCTCATAAAATGAGTTTGGAAGTTTTCCTTCCATTTCTATTTTTTGGAACAGTTTCAGGAGAATAGGTATTAATTCTTCTTTAAATGTCTGATAGAATTCCCTTGGGAAGCCATCTGGCCCTGGGCTTTTGTTTCTTGGGAGATTTCTGATGACTGCTTCAATTTCCTTAGTGGTTATTGGTCTGTTCAGGTTTTCTATTTCTTCCTGGTTCAGTTTTGGTAGTTGATACATCTCTAGGAATGCACCCATTTCTTCCAGGTTATCTAATTTGCTGGCATAGAGTTGCTCATAATATGTTCTTATAATTGTTTGTATTTCTTTGGTGTTGGTTGTGATCTCTCCTCTTTCATTCATGATTTTGTTGATTTGGGTCATTTCTCTTTTCTTTTTGATCAGTCTGGCCAGGGGTTTATCAATCTTGTTAATTCTTTCAAAGAACCAGCTCCTAGTTTCGTTGATCTGTTCTACTGTTCTTTTGGTTTCTATTCATTGATTTCTGCTCTGATCTTTATTATTTCTCTTCTCCTGCTGGGTTTAGGCTTTATTTGCTGTTCTTTCTCCAGCTCCTTTAGGTGTAGGGTTAGGTTGTGTATTTGAGACCTTTCTTGTTTCTTGAGAAAGGCTTGTATTGCTATATACTTTCCTCTCAGGACTGCCTTTGCTGTATCCCAGAGATTTTGAACAGTTGTGTTTTCATTTTCATTGGTTTCCATGAATTTTTTAAATTCTTCTTTAATTTCCTGGTTGACCCATTCATTCCTTAGTAGGATGCTCTGTAGCCTCCATGTATTTGAGTTCTTTCCGACTTTCCTCTTGTGATTGAGTTCTAGTTTCAAAGCATTGTGGTCTGAAAATATGCAGGGAATAATCCCAGTCTTTTGGTACCGGTTGAGACCTGGTTTGTGACCTAGGATGTGATCAATTCTGGAGAATGTTCCATGGGCTCTAGAGAAGAATGTGTATTCCGCTGCTTTGGGATGGAATGTTCTGAATATGTCTGTGAAGTCCATTTGGTCCAGTGTGTCATTTAAAGTCTTTATTTCCTTGTTGATCTTTTGCTTAGATGATCTGTCCATTTCAGTGAGGGGGGTGTTAAAGTCCCCCACTATTATTGTATTGCTGTCAGTGTGTTTCTTCGCTTTTGTTATTAATTGCCTTATATAATTGGCTGCTCCCATGTTCGGGGCATAGATATTTACAACTGTTAGATCTTCTTGTTGGATAGACCCTTTAAGTAGGATATAGTGTCCTTCCTCATCTCTTATTACAGTCTTTGGTTTAAAATCTAATTTGTCTGATAGAAGGATTGCCACCCCAGCTTTCTTTTGGTGTCCATTAGCATGGTAAATGGTTTTCCACCCCCTCACTTTCAATCTGGGGGTGTCTTTGGGTCTCAAATGAGTCTCTTGCAGACAGCATATTGATGGGTCTTGTTTTTTCATCCAATCTGATAGCCTGTGTCTTTTGATTGGGGCACTGAGCCCATTTACATTCAGGGTAACTATTGAAAGGTATGAATTTAGTGCCATTGTATTGCCT